AGGAGCAGGAGCAGGAGGAGGAGCAGGAGCAGGAGCAGGAGGAGGAGCAGGAGCAGCAGCAGGAGCAGGAGCAGGAGCAGGAGGAGCAGCAGCAGCAGGAGCAGCAGCAGCAAACACGAGAGGGTGCGGGTGGAAGCAGCAGTGCTGCCGGCGGCTGAGGAAGCCGAGAAGGGAGGACTGCGGATTTACTTCCATGCAGGACTGGAGCCCGCTGAGGTCCAGAGCTGGAGAATGGGGTGTTCCGATTGTTGTGAAAGATGCCTTTCAGCTCTCTTTAGAGAATAGATTGCGCAAACACGAAAAATCTTGCACAGAATTTTGTTGGGTAACAGATACAGTGTTCTTTAAAGAACATTCCTCAGTACACCTTATTTATTAATTAGCTTTCTAATTATTTTTATTGAAGGTAGGTGAGATTTAGAGTAAGAGTTGACAGGCTATTTTGGTAGTTTTTTTTTCCCCCCTGAAAATTTGCTGTTTTCAGGATGAGTATTTCAGGCTCGGGTCCTATGGTCTCCTGCAGCTGCTCACCTCCGCTGCAGTTATTTGAAAGCAGCCACAGATAATGCAGGAATGAAAGAGCACATCCGCATGACACTAAAACTATATATGGACACGGGGATTTGTATTTCATATAATTTACGTGCATCAGGAGATACTGGGTTTTTTTTTTTAAATGTATTTAGTACAGTATCTGTAGGGTCTCACTATGTAGATCAGACTCATGGTGATTCTCCTGTTTTCAGCCTCCCAAATCCTGGGATTACCAGCATGTGCCACCCTGCCCAATTTCAATCCCCTTTTTAGCACTGGGATTACAGGCATGTGCCACCATGCCCAATCTCAATCGCATCTGAGCACGCCCCGGGGGCAGGGTCTGCACTGCACTGGGGGATCGAATCCCATGCCACTACTCTCTGCCTAAGCAGGTGCTTTAGTCCACTGAGCTATCTGGCCTGTTCAGGTTTGTCTGTTTTTTGTTTTGTTTTGTTTTGTTTTGTTTTGTTTTGTTTTTTGTTTTTTTTAAAGTCATTAGAAAAAGTAAAACCATTCTCAGCCTGGAAGCCATGCAAAACCAGGTTTGCATGAGGTGTAGTTCGCTGACCCCTGGTTTGGAACACAGCCTGACCTTCCTGCTGGTGAAGCCTCCTCTGTAGTTTAGGGGCCTGGCACTAGGCAGTTCACATGGGAGGTCTCTTTTCTTACCTGTCAGTTCCTGGGGTTGTGCTAGGACAAAATGAATTCCTGTTTGTAGGGCCTGTAGGACAGCACTTGCCAACTAGGAAGTGCTACGTGAGTGTTTAACAGACAAGATTTAATCTTGAAATCAAAAATAAATTTTAATACTATCTAAATTGACCTCTAGTATAACAGAAAACATATTTTGGATATTACTGAAATGGTGGCTCTAGAAACAGATCCCTTATATAGAATATGCAAAGCTCATTGGGGAAAGACTGGGCTTTAGAGGTAGAAGAGTGGCCTCTGGGCCAAGATCAGAGTGCAGGGTTGGGGATTGGAGACCTTAGGAGTGTGGGGTGACAGAGAGGGGCGGGGTTCTGAGGAACAAGAGAGGGAGCAGGGGAGCAGACGCAGGGCAGCAGTGACCAGTAGCAGTAGAGGTGGGATCCGGAGTCAGAGAGCTTGGAAGGACTGATTGATAAGAACAGAAGCAGCAGGAAAGAGAAAAAGAAGAAGTCAGGCTTCTGTGTAAGGGCTACTGTAGGGAGCGAAGGGAGGAGAAAGCTGGGAAGACCTGTGGCCCACGTGAAGTCAGGGGTCCTCTGTCCAAGGACAAGCACCCATCAGTAGGCAGACACTGGCCCCTGCTTCATTCACAGGTTCTGGATGGATTTTGTGAAGTGAGAGGTACCAGGTGTTTTTTGTTTGTTTGTTTGTTTGATTATATTAGCTTTTCTTTTTCAAAATAGGGAAAAGTGGATTTTGGTTGGTATGATTTAAAGTCTGAATTTTAAAGGTTTCTTTAAAGATTTCAGCAATGGGACAGGGCATTAGTTTCTACTTTTCATATTCACATTCATTCTAAGTCTGTCACCTTAGACTCTAGTTTGGGGAGCCATCAGTTAGATAGTAAACAAAGGTTTAGTTGTCCCTCACCCTTCTAGACACAATGCAGTGACTTCTGTCACTAATACAAGTAGTCTAAAATAATACATGATACGTGAAATAGTGTGCACATACTTGTATAAAAGAACTCCTTAGTTCTTTTCTAGCTCATAATTTCATTAATTTTTAGCTGTCTAATACATTAGTTTAAATTATCCCTTGTGTGTTTTCTGTTTCTGGGAAATTGGACCCAGGGCTTCACACATGCTCAGCAAGTACACTTACTCGTGAATTACATCCCCTGCCACCCTGTAAGTTTTAATATATTTTGGGTATAAACTCACTGATGGCTGATTCTAGCTGGTGACAGAAGAGGCTAGGATCCTCTTCATTAGCTGCGGTAGTCACTTTAAATGAATACTGGAATAAGAGAAGGTGATATATAGGTGTCCAGGAAACCAGCTGCATGCCTGCATTTAGGACTATCTCTTTTTTTCTCTAACTCATTTCATAGTTACAAACTACCAATGTCGGCAACACATTGGGCCTTTTGGGGCTGGGCTTAATAGCTCAGGGATAGAGTGCTTACTTAGCATGTGCAAGGCACTGGAGTCTGCAGAGTCACAGAGTTGGCAGGCCGCTCCTGCAGAGCGCATTCTTCCATCTTCACCCAGATAGAATAAAATAGGGAGGCTGTAGGAATGCAGTGTGCCTGTTTGCTACATTTAAGGATTTACTTGCTTCTGGAGACATTACGAAATTTCAAAGGAATAGAGTTACATTCTGAAAGACTATTAAAATTAGGAGAAATAGCATAAAGATAATGTGTAAATTGTCACTGCCGAGGTTGTCCTCTTATGCTTGTCCCTCCTGGCTGGGAACTTTGGAGTCTCTCAATCATATACCTTTGCAGAATGAACTTGCTAACCTGGGGGAACACTCCTGAAAGACACTCAGATGCTACATGGATGAACACACACCACTCCCTGGATACAACTTAGTTACTTTCTTCTACTGAGTGGTTGGATGGTGACTCGTCATCTAAAGTGAATCTGCGCTTACCAAACTTGAGCACCAATGCTTCCAGCTTTCCTGTTGACTTTTGTTAGATTTTGATTGGTGCTAACAACTTTGTTTTTGTATTTTTTAATTTGTTGTTTTTTAGATTATACATCCAAAAACCGACGATCAAAGAAATAGATTACAAGAAGCTTGCAAAGACATCCTGCTGTTTAAGAACCTGGATCCGGTAAGAGAATTCTTAGGAACATAAATGGTTGTTTTATTGCCAGGGCCCAGAACTGTACAGAGGTTTGAATTCTGTCTTCTTTTCAAGTTGATGTCACCCTGGGATGGTGGCAGAGGCACGTGCAGCGCACTGCTCTGGAAGAGAGGAGCTCTGAGCTTCTGGTCACACAGGGCCAGAGCCAGGAGAGGCCTGGGCTGTGTGGGGAGGTTGCGGTCTTGTCCTTGTGTGCTGCACAGCTCTGAGCAGTGGTCAGAAGAGAACAGTCCTGCTTACTTCACGTGTCCAGTGGGCACTTGCAGGTTGCGTAGGTTCCCCCTCCCAACAGCTAGCACTACAAGTTATATTTGATTTTTCAATACAGATTCAGTGTTTTACTTTAAAAGTAACATTTTACTTGGCTTCCTTAAGGTGGGAGGATATTTTGTTTTCTAAAGATTTTGAAGGATCTGGTCTTGGGGACTTCTAAGATAGCCATTGTCAGTGTAAGTAAAAATGTTCAGATTTAGGCTTGGTCTCAGTGTTCTGCTTCTTTGATAATAGATTTGCATGTTCTTGCAATATAGTCCTTTCAGAAAGAACTTCATGTTTCAATGTAAAAGTGGAGTGGACTTTTGTAAAGTACTCAGACTTTGGGGTGATGGGTCAAACTTCACATCTTCTACTTGCCAACCTGCTGCCCTAGAGAGGAGGGCATTAAATCAAGCCCCACTCCTTTTTCAAGCACAGTCCTCTTAAAAGGGCCCTGTTTGAGGAGATAACCCGTTCTTCCATATTAGGTCGTGCTTACACCCTTTAAAGTCTCTGTTGCTGTATAATATCATTTGTGTTTGTGCCATGTGAACATGGACTCCAAGTTGTGACGTAAGCACCCTGGTTTTTAGGCCTGCACATTTCAAGCTGGTATGTCCATCTCGGAGTCCACGTTTGTCTGACAGAACGGAGCTGAGCTCACCATGTCAAAGGTGCATCAGTCACTTCCTCTGTGCATTTCTGGGGGCTGCGACAGAAAAAAAATGATGTTTTTTCCATCTTTGTCTCACTCTTTAGGTAGCATATGCCAGTCAAATCTTGCTATGTGTACTAAGATCTCAAAAAGAAGACATGGGACTAAAACCAGGATGCTTTGAGTTACTTTTTCATACTTAAGTATATATAATAATGTGATTTTTGGATAGATTTGTTGTTTGTAATTAAGTGATGTCATTGAAATGTTGTGTAACTCAGGCCTTGTTAAAAGTAACAGTGAACCTTGCACAGAGTTACACCTTCCTGGAGACAAGGCAGCTTTCTAGAGTGACACCAATATGCATTGCTCTTCACCCACACTGATTGAGGCCCATCGCAGCAGGTCAGTGCCAAGAAAACAGGGACCTACGTCATTGCCCAGCACCTGTGGGTCAGACGCTGTCTAAGGCCAGCATCAACTGAGTTTTAATTCTTTTGCTCCATACGCACACATCAGCCAGCTCTTCACTCGGTCCTTCATTTGACGCTCAGGAATGGGATTCCATGAAAGCATCTCTCTTTTTGGACTAGGACTTCCCATGGGAGAATTTCAGAGGACACCGAGAACAATGCCTCCCCAGTTTTAATGTGTGTGTATCTGATCAGAGAAGCTTATGACAATGTAGATTTGAACTCAGCCAGCCTGGTGGGAGGCCCAAGAACGTACCTTTTCCCAAAAGCCCAGGTACCATTGGCACCTGCGGGCCCAGTCTGAGTACCCAGGATCACAGCTACTTGTGAAAATGATCCAGCTCAGTATGTCAGTGCTGCCATGTGTTACTTTGTTTGTCTGCTTTTCTGTTCACTGAACCACTGTTTTACTACTCAAGCAGTGACTAAGCGGTGATATTCTTGTTTCTGTGTGCTAAGGATAAAAAGCTTGAATGAAATAGTTGCTAGTTACACTTTCCTGGGATGTCGCCCATTCTATCCTCCAAGTGAAATTGTTTTTCCTTGCTATTTCAGTTTTAACTCTATAAAAGCATTGTGAAATTATGTTTGCATTTAAAACTTAAGTCAACTTTTGCTAGTACAGTCTCAAAAGGTATCTTAATTGAAGTGATCATATAAATGTAAGATCCTTTTAGTCTTTCTTTATTGCTCTTAAAATTTTTTAATATATATTTTATGAACTAGTTTATTAGGGGGCAAACTGTGAATTGTTATTACTGAATGCTTTCTAGAGAAGAAGCAAACATATTTACATAGTAGTTTCCAAAAGATTGCTTTTTAAATTTGAACTCAAACCAGCTTAATTTATTTCTATACTATTTCAAATCTTTTTAGAGATGATGTAGGCCATAAAAAAGTAAACATTTATTTAACTTACCAAATTACTGCCTGGAGTAAGAAATTTAGTCCCAAACATGGCAGAACGAAGGCTTTAAGGTAAGCTCATATTTTAAGTAGGATCCTTGTTTTTTATAACATCATTTTCAGTACCTAAATGCATTTTAGTTAATTTACACTTTCATTGCATATAATCTGCCTGTCGTGTAGCTTATCTCCAATTTCTTGACTACTTACTATGTTTCAAGGCTTGAATAAGGTATTGATGACCACCAAGAAGGTGAGACCTAGTTCTTGTCCCTCCTGACCTATAATTTGATGAGGGTTACAAACACATATATTTGAGCTTAGGATGGTGGCGCATACCTGTAATCGCAGTACACAGGAAGCTGAAGGCGCGCGGGGGGGGGGGGGGATCACCATGAGTTTGAAGCCAGCCTGAGAAGAGACCCTTTAAAACAATCAGAAAACAAAACAAAATGCATGTATTCATACAAAGCATGCTGATGATAGATACTGTCATGTGGCCAGGAGGTATTTTGTCTCTTAGGCTACCCTTAGAATTCACCAAGCCAGTGAGACCACTGAGCTGCCTCAGAAAACAAAGAGGAAACTGCAAGTGGACAAAAGACATAGACTGTTACCCCTGGAGCTTCCAACAGATACCATCTAGTGATGGCAGCTAAGACATGGGTGTCCTGTCTTTGGAGGACCTTTCTTGAATGTCAAGTTGTGGTGTGAGACACATCCAATAAGCACAGTGGAAAGAGTTTTGAACAGAGGCTCACAGTCACATCTCCTAAGTTCCCTTTGGTGGTGGTGTAGAGCATGAAGTGGAAGGGACATTGGTATAGGCACATGGGCAAGAAGGAAGTATGGAGCCAACAGGGACGCTAGGCCATCATCTAGGGAGAAGAATGGGCCTGAGTTAGGCAGAAGAGAAAAAGCTAGCCAGAAAGTGATGTGTAGAATTGATGGCTTAGTACTCGGTGGGTCCTCTAAGTGGGACCTCAAGGAAAATGCCTCGGAGGACTGTGGGTGTCTAGTGAGAAGGTCTAGGAAGGTAGCGACTGTGGGGAAGGAAAACCGGAAGGAAAGGAAATAGCACAGTAATTATTGAGAGGAATAAGTGTGGCTTTGTGTCTCCCATCTCATTTGGATTTCCTGAAGTCATTATTTGCTTTGAAAACCTTGTACTTAGGTAGACCTTAGAATATTTTTTCCCTGTAAGACTACTGTATATTCATGTCTTAAACTATAGCATTTACAGTTATTAAAATCTTTGAAGATATTCTTTTCATGAATATTTTAATGCTTGAATCAGTAGGCCATTTTCTTTCTGAAATATTTCTAATTTGAGGCTAACAAATAATTTTCCTATGCTATATGATAGGCGCTTTCATTTATATGGAGTAATTGTTACTCCTGAAGTGAGTCAAAGCTCTTTACTAAGCTCGGTCTTGAATTTGCTCCTGTAGAGGATCTGATGTGGGTTTCCTCCACTGGTTGTCAGTCATGTTGATAAGCCCTTGCATATTAAGTATTTCCTAGGTTCTTTTCATTCTGTGCATAATTATGAGGAAATTACATTTTGGTTGACTAGAAGGACACCTGTCACAGAGAAATTTTAAAAGATATTTTTTCTATATTTTATCAAGAATTTTACTTTTCAAATATCCATGTATGAATTCTTCAGCTTTAGAATTTGGAAACTGTATTATTTGATTAAAATGCAGGTAATCTTTTTTTCCCATCATTTCACATTTAGAATTAGAACAAATAAATAAAGCTGATGTTCCTCCTGCCTGCCCCAAAGACTCAAAATATAAATAACAAGTGAAGCAGAGTATTAGTAAGCCATTTAATCAACCTTCAGAATTCTGATAGGTGACCATATGTTGCCTGAGTGGATGAAGTCATTTGGGTAGAAGAGTCCCCATGGGGCCAATTAGCACCGCATCAAGAGTCTGTCTCCTGCCACACGGGCTTCCTCCTTAGCCTGGCTGCTGGCCCACAGGCAGGTGCCAGAGCTCACACAGAGACCTAGGGAAGGGATGCAAATCACTTCCTGCAGACCTGGTTCTGGCTCTTTCATAGGTTTTCTTAGCCCACACGAAGGTGCAAAATTGTATTTTCTGTCCAGTTTGTTTTCAAGTTATGACACTGTAATCAACAGACACAAAAACTCTAAATGAACAAGAGGTAGGGAAAAGAAAGCTCCCCTCCACTTGTCTCCCAGGAACACATGTTCTCAGTACTAGTCACGTTCTTTCAGCACTATAATGGGTACTTTTCCAGGGTTATGTAAGCAGATACAAATAAATTCTTTTTTTTTTGAAGGTCATCATCATTTTTATTTTTTTCCCATAATTTTATTGAGAAACAACTAGCAATGAGAGTTTCAAATCAAATTGGTAGGACAGTTTCAATATTTAACATATTGCATACTCTCTTCCTAGTGGTTATTTGCTGTACAAGATGCAGACATGATATCCTACTTATAAGCACTATTAGAACAAATCCCTCTATTAAGAGAATGTTTATCCTAACCATTTTGAATACACAAATACAAAATGGATATTCATCTGCAGCCCCTTTTTTGTTTAGTTCCATCATTTGAATATTATAGGTGTGTTAACTCAGGAAAATATTCTAAAAGAGTCCAGTAGTCCATAATAATATTGGGTCTTCTGCTTGACTGGCAA